TTATTTAAGATAAGATTTCCCAGGCAGCGCAGAGTACCTGGTAACCAGGAACAGCCCTAGATAGTTCTTGATGCTGTTTTTCAAGCACACACAGAAAAATGTACACAGTACACAGTACACACAAATGGCAGTCTCTGACAGCACTCCAATCACTGCAGACGATCAATAACTGTATCTTAAGGGAGCTCAGGTTTAATTATAAACGGATTATGAAAAAAACAAGCCAGCTGCATTTCCTTGTAGCTCTGTCTCACTAGCAGTACATGACAGCATTTTCTTATCGTGGGTTGGAGCTGCTGTTTGCTGTTTGTAAGATACAGTCAAGAGAAGAGCTGCTGTTTGCTGCAGTAATGCCAGCATTTTATTGATTTTATTCAGGGGGGGGGGTGTCTTGATGATGTGATGGTGCAACAAGCTATTTATTACTAATAGACTGCAGCAATGAATCACAAAGACGCAGGAGGCGTTGCAAGCAATGCAGCCACCTGTTGAGATGGACAAAGGAAAGCCCAGACTGGGGGGTCCATTTTTAATTCTAGTGCATGCTTGTTTTTTAGGTCTTGAACTACTGTCGTCCTCTTCATTAACTACACTTGCTGTATATTGTAAATGAAATGTGTGATATTGCTTTAGAATACTGGATGGGGTGTGTGCACTGTTACTTTTCCACAGCTCCCTGGATTTCAAGTACAAGTCCCGATTAAAACGCATTGGATACATAAAGAAAAAAATAATCATTTAGAAGAACCTTCTCCCGGCAAGGATGACATAATCCATCCCTGTTTTTTTTTTTGAATGGATAACTTTGCTTGCCAAGTTGTAGCTCCTTGCTAATTCACAGACTGCAGCTTGAGTTTCAAGCACTTCATACTGAACCCCCTTCACTAAGGCTTGTTAGCTTTGTGCTCGTGGAACATAAATGTATACGCTGCGGCTCATCTGCTCCATTTCCTCAGCCGCCTCCTGCTGTGAGAGCCTTCAGTGTTAAGTGATGCAAGATTGTTCTCTCCACAGACAG